CTCATCTGATTGACAGACAAGCTTATTTCAAAATAACGGGTGGTGGTCTTGAGGGTCTCCCGTAGATTGCCAACATTGGTGATAACTGTGAAATTAACCAAAGGGTGTGTTTACATTCACTGAAATGCTATATTTTATTTTATGGGGATTATTTCTTGAAGACTGAGAAAACATGTGTTTCAGTGTTGGCCACTAATAGAGTGATGAAAGCACTTAAGTGTTGTATTATTTCTCAGGGAAGTAAAATCTAAATTTGAGGCTACTCTGCTCACAAAAGAAACAAATTAATACATGTAGGAGATAGTCCTGCTGTAGAAAATGCTTGCTTATAGAAAGAAAGGAGTCTTTGACTGAGGTTGGGCCACAGTGCCTCCAGCTTTTGGGTGGCCCGTCTCCCCAATTGGCCTGGGTCTCACTCCAGGTAGCCCCGATGCCCTGCCATTCTTTCTGCCCTGTTTGCTTCCCTCTCAGGGGCCCCTGGAAGCCAGTTGGTAGACTCAGTTACTATCTTCTTGAGCCAAAAAGCATTAGGACTACCCTGAGTAGTACTTTTTTTTATCCTTATAAAACCGCTACATAACATTATATATGTTTTAGGTGTACAGCATTGTAATTTGACATCTGTATGCACTACAAAGTGAGTGATCACCCCGAAAATTTAGTTATCATGTTTCACCACACAATTGAAACCCTTCATCCAACTCAAGCCCCCCAACACCTTTCCTCTCTGGTAACCACCAATCTATTCTCTGAATCTGTGAGTTTATTTTTGTTTGGTTTTGTTTATTTGGTTGTTTTTGTTTTTAGATTCCACATATGAATGAAATGATATGGTATTTGTTATTCCCCATCTGACTTATTTCACTTAGCATAATACCCTCAAGGTCCATTCATGTTATAGTGCATGGCAAAATTTTAGCTTTTATCTTTTTTATGGCTAAACAATATACCACATCTTCTTTTTCCATTTGTCCACTGATGGATACTTAGGCTGTCTCCATTTCTTGGCTGTCGTAAATGCTGCAGTGAACATAGGGACCACGTGTTTTTCAAATTAGTGTTTTTTTGTATTTTTCAGATAAATACCCAGAAGTGGAATTGCTGGGTTATATGGTAGTTCTATTCTTAATTTTTTGAGGAATCTCCATACTACTTTCCATAGTGGCAGCACGAACTTACATTCCCACCAAAAGTGTACAAGGCTTCCCTTTTCTCTAAATTCTCTGCGGCATTTTTTATGTTCTTTTTGATAATAGCCATTCTAACACAAGTGAGGTGATATCTCATTGTGATTTTGTTTTGTATTTCCCTAATAATTAATGATGAACATCTTTTCATGTGCCTGTTGGTCATCTGTATGCCTCCTTTGGAAAAAATGTCTATTCAGATTATCTGCCCATTTTTAAAATCTGGTTGCTTGTTTTTATGTTTTTGTAGTGTATGAGTTCTTTATATATTTTGGTTATTAACCCCTTGTCAGATATATGATTTGCAAACATCTTCTCCCGTTTAGTAAGTTGCCTTTTCGTTTTAATGGTGGTTTTCTTTCACTGTGCAGAAGCTTTGTAGTTAGATGTAATTAATTTGTTTTCCTTTTGTTTCCCTTGCCTTTAGAGTCAGATCCACTTGGGTACTACATTTTTATCTGTCCTACAATCTAGTAGTGATTGATTATGATTCTTTTGTCCTTAGTCGTATTCTGTAGAAATTATTGCTTAAATTGTTTTTTCTTAAAGAAGAAAAAAAATCCACAATCCAAGTACTAAAGCTATATTTTGGAAACTCAGTGACATTTCCCCTCTTATCCTCTTTGTTTTGTTTGGCTATCAGAGAGTTATCCATGACAACACTAAGAGAAGGAGCCAGTGCTTTTTGATTTGGTGAACTCTGTTAGGAAAGATGATGACGGAATTTCACGGGTTGCATAACTGCAGACTCAGTGGGCTGTTTTTGCTTATTTTGTATATTATATGCTTCCTCATGCCAATAATGGTTTGACATGTTCATCATTAATTATTAGGGAAATACAAAACTGGGCTTTTCCAAAATACATCTTTTTATAGAATCACTAAGATATCCACTTGCTTACATAAGCCTGACTACTTGTTTGTTTTTGAAAAAGTACAGATATTTAAACATCCAATATTTTGATCAAACTATAAAACAATTGCTGTTACTTTCAGGCTCAACAAAAGAGTTGGTAGTTTTCAAATACATGCCACTCTTGCTCTAATCTATACTTTTTATCATTCAACAAACAATGCACCTACTTTGCGCACTCACTGTGTGCTCCTTTAATGCAGCCATACAGGTTTACCTCATTCCCTGCAAAAGCTCTGCTGTAGACTCCACTGCAACACAGTTAGTAAGCCCCAGGTATTTTGCAAGCCAGTCCCGATGAATTCCTGTGGGCAGCAGATTGCATTTCTAGTGAACTGTGGTGATTTATACATCTTATAGATGCTAAGTGTTTGGGGTATATTATCCTCTGCGGTAAATGAAGATTTTACAAACACCACTGTGACCCAGGTCTGAGTGGGGCCCTCCTCCCCGTGAGCAGTGAACCCCACACTTTGAGAGGCTCGGTGGGATCTGCCCGGGGGCTGTAGCTTCTTAATTTTCCAAGTAGATCTTTAGTTTCAATCACCTGTGAGAATTATTTCCTTCTTCTTTTTCTCTCCTTTAAAAAATACCAATCTGCTTTAACACAGGAGTTACGTTTTCTGGAAAATGCTGTTGGTTTAGGCCATTTCTCTCCTCTCCCATTAATAAACTCAACTACACTGAGTGTATTTTCAAGGTTCCAGAGTATAGCTAGTGAATGAACCAGTTACAAAATATTCAGGGTGGAGACTCCTAACAGTTGGCTGAGGACTTTGGAAAGGAATGCCTCCTTCCCTGACTTGATAAAATGGGATTAGCAAACCAGAACAAACTAGTTTGTTGTCAATGAAAGATGCTGTAAAAGAGTTTAGGCACTTGGACTGCATCCCTGGCTAGTGTTGCGCAGTGATTAGAGCATTGGTATGCATACCGAAGGATCTCAGGTTTGATTCCTGACCAAGGGTACTTACCTGGGTTGCAGGTACATCCCTGGCCTGGTCAGGATGTGTATAGGAGGAAACCAATCAATGTTCCTCTCTCACATAGATGTTTCTCTCCCCACTTTCTTTCTTTCTCTTTCCCCCACTCCTCCTCCCTTCCACTCTCTAAAAATTAATGGAAAAATATGCTCAGGTGAGGATTAACAAAACAACAACAAAATTTTAGCTTGCAGCAAAAATATTTGTTTCACAGGTGTATTTTCTTGGTCTACTTCTTGTTCTTAGAATTTAGTTAAACTGTAGGCAGTAGTTGATGTTTTCTGGAAAGCTTTAGAGAACAGGGTGACCAACTCATTTCAAATGAAAAACTTGAGTTTGAGACAAAACAGGACAGTTAGTCACCCTCTGGAGAACCCAGCAAGACCATTGTGTTTGAGTCAGGAAGAGACTCCTCCACTGGGAGAGAACATTTAAAATCCTAAGTGGGGCGAGCGAGCAGCATGATCATGTGGTTATCACCTGAGCATAGGGCTGTCAGGTTTGTGTTCAGAGAAAGGTGTGCACTGGGCTGAGGCATGAATAGGTTTTCTTCCCAGTCACTACATAGAGGCCCCAGAGCAGGACCAGCTCTGGGAATCTTAGGCGGGGTCTGGTACGGGGCTCTGTCTGAGAGGCTGAGCTGTGGGTAGGTAGGCATTGAGAGGCAAGGATCAGTCCCGCATCAGGGAAGGTCAAAAATTATTTTAGGGCATCAGCTAATTTTTAGTAAAATGCAGACACAGTTCAAATCCCCTTTCATTCCTCTTTGATCACATTTCTTTCCTTTCTCCACTGGTGAGCATTTTTCTGAAAGCTGTGAGCTTCCCTAGGGCTATATTTTTATTATATATCTCCCTAAGTTGTTTTTAGCTGACATGTATGGCACACCTAATGCAACATTTAAATAGATGAGTAAATGTTGCATTGGGGCTGTTCTGCCACCTAGACTGTTCTGCAGCTTGCTTTTCTCACACCCCTGTCTTTGAGATCGATCAGTGTTGATGCAGGAGGATCTCATTCATTGTTTAACTGTTGTTGAATAGCTTGTCCACATGAATGTAGTGAAGGTCAAATTTCCTGGCCTTTATTTTCATTGCTTTAAGGAAAGCAAATATATGAAGGGTGGCTGAAGTGGAGGAGAAGAGAGGAAATGTGGAAGAGAGAAGAAAGGCCAGCAGGCCAATCCACCTCCATATAAATTCATATTTTGCTTTAGACTATTTGGGATAGAAGGGACCTCATAGGTAGAGGGGTTCACTCTTCTGCACCCCTGATTTAAGGCTGGATAAGACTAGGCTGTTCCATAAATTCAGCCCAGTGCTGTGCCGGTTCGGTCTTGTCACTAAGCATCGTAGGCAGGGGTGTCTTGAGAACAAGGCTGATCATTCCGTGGACAATGGTTGTACATAATCGTGCCATAAATGTTAATGTAAATTGCTTTTTAACACAGATTTATATTTGTGATAATCTGATGTTTTAAGTAGTTGATAAATAAAGACATTTTAAAAAATAATGTTATGGGCCATGTATGTTATTAAACACTCATCTTGATAGCTATTTATTTATTTATTTATTCTTTATTTAGTTTTATTAATTTCAGAGAGGAAGGGAGAGGGGGAGAGAGAGATGGAAACATCAATAATGAGAAAGAATCATTGATCGACTGTCTTCTGCATGTCCCCTACTGGGGATCAAACCCGCAACCTGGGCATGTGCCCTTGACCAGAATGGAACCAGGGATCTTTTAGTCTACAGGCTGGCGCTCTATCCATTGAACCAAACTGGCTAGTGCTTGATAGCTTTTTAAATACTTCCTCCTTCTGGTGCATTTTTTTTTTTTTTTAGCAAGGTTGCTTTAGCAGCCTGCTTCCTTC